TTTTCACTCGTTGTCAGCCTCTGCTTTTCTGCAACAGACTGAAGCCTCCGCGCGAATTCAGCGCGCCTTTCTTTCAGTTAATAAAAGAAAAATGCTGCAATTTTCTGGTGTTATTTTATGATTGTTGGGGCAGTATCCAGCTGTATCTTAAACTTCTCAAAATACCGAAGTCTGCTTCAGATTGGTTTTAATCACTGCACAAAAAATTAACGCAATCTTTATCTAAATTTTGATTGGGTGGGCAAGACAGTCATTTTGGGTGGGCTCAGCCCACCCCTGCCCATGCCTGGAGCCGCCGGAACTAGCATGAACTTTTAGGGGAATTTCATTGGTCAATAAGACTTCAAACTGACACCTACTGGTGTGGATGCAATCTAACACAAAAACAAACAATTGGTTAACAATGCAATATGCAGTTATTGAAACACCACATTTGCAATTGTGTTTACGCAATCTTTATCTAAATTTTGATTGGGTGGGCAAGACAGTCATTTTGGGTGGGCTCAGCCCACCCCTGCCCATGCCTGGAGCCACCGGAACTAGCATGAACTTTTAGGGGAATTTCATTGGTCAATAAGACTTCAAACTGACACCTACTGGTGTGGATGCAATCTAACACAAAAACAAACAATTGGTTAACAATGCAATATGCAGTTATTGAAACACCACATTTGCAATTGTGTTAGAGCAGATAATTAGTTAAAGTGAGTAGAATTTGAATGGTCATGTGCTCCCAACATGACAGTCACCATGAAGAGAGACCACCCTAACGTAGAATAAAGTAGCTTTTGTAATCAACGCATATGACTCGAATTACACTTTATCAAAAGTACTATTCATTTCATTTTGGAAAAAAATGTTAAAGTGGTTTAGAGCACCGCTAAGCCATTTACACCTTTTAGCTGTTCTTCAGCACATGACTTTCTCATGGATAACAGTATTCAGGCCTATGCAAATGAGAAAAGGCCAATGCAAGTACATGAACGCAAACCCTTCTAGCGGTGTATGTTCGATTTCACGCATCGTTTAAAAAAAGCGCCAGAGCACAAATTTTGGTGAAGTGTTAGCATATTAGCATTAGCGTAAACTACTTCTATGGCAATTTTTCAATTTCAGGTCATGGAGATGACTAAAATGAAAACACAGTTATTCACTTTCATGATGTCCGAAGTCTGTATGTTTCATCTGCAGTACGCAAAACAAAAGAAGGTATTTGAAAATGTTGGTAAAACTCTTCTGGTTACCATTGTCTTCTATTTTATGGACATTTCTCAAAATATCTTTATATTCCACAGAAAAAAAAAAGAAAGTCACAGGTTTGGAATGGCATGAGAAAAATTCCTTTTTATGTGAAATATTCCTTTAAAGTTGGCATGTTTACTTCTAGCCACCTCAATAACGATACGTTTGCCTCCTTTCGTACTAAGGTTTAGCACAAGTATGTACAAACAGAAGACATTATCTGTTACAGCATTAAAGTAAATTAGTAAACAAGAAGTTTCCCCTTCTTTCACACTATCGTTTTTTTTTCTCAGGCTCTTCTGACTAATCATGGCTGACTGGAGTCTACTTGGGAACTTTCTAGAAGAAGTCCAGGAACATTCCACCTCGGTGGGAAAGGTGTGGCTCACCATTCTTTTCATCTTCCGGATCCTGGTCCTGGGCACGGCCGCCGAGTCCTCGTGGGGTGACGAGCAGGAAGACTTCACCTGCGACACTGAGCAGCCCGGTTGTGAGAACGTTTGTTACGATCGAGCCTTTCCCATCGCGCATATCCGCTTCTGGGTGCTCCAGATTGTATTTGTGTCCACACCTTCTCTCATCTACATGGGACACGCGATGCACAGTGTCCGCAGAGAGGAGAAGAGGAGGAAAGAGCGGGAAGAAGAAGAAGGAGCACAAAGAGACAGAGATGGAGAGAAGTACCCAGAGGAAGACAAGAACTGTGGGAAGGAGGACGAAGGTGGAGGTGGGAAGGTGCAACTGAAGGGGGCTTTGCTACAAACATATGTACTAAGTATCCTCATCCGCTCTGTAATGGAAGTGATCTTCATCATAGTCCAGTACATGATCTATGGAGTCTTCCTTAATGTGCTCTACGTATGTAAGGCCTCTCCGTGTCCGCATCTGGTCAACTGCTACATCTCGAGACCTACGGAGAAGAACGTGTTTATTGTGTTTATGCTGGCGGTAGCAGCTGTATCGCTGTTGCTAAGTGTCGTAGAACTGTATCATTTGGCGTGGAAGCAGTTTAAGGGTTGTTTGCAAGGATATAAGGCTTCCAAACAGCGACCGAATACACCATCCACCGTGGCTGCAGTCTCACCAAACCGAGCTTGCACTCCACCTCCTGACTTCAACCAGTGCCTGACATCTCCACCATCTTCCCCTACCATACAGACACACGCAAACCCGCTTTTACACCCAACCTGCCCGCCTTTTCACGACCGGCTGGCACACCAGCAAAACTCGGTGAACATGGTCACTGAACGCCATCGAGGTCAAGACTACCTAGGAGTCAACTTCTTCAGCTTCTCACATACACTTACAGAGATGCCCAACTCATGCGCCTCACCTTCGTTTCTAAGCAGTGATTTTGTTGAGGACAAGCGAAGGTTTAGCAAGAGCAGCGGGACCAGCAGCCGCATGAGACCGGACGACCTTGCAGTATAGCACTGACCGCTCGCATATGGAAAAGGGTCATCTAGTGTGACTAGTCATAAATCTGCGACATGATTTTGCACTTGACCTAACATATAGACTGAGCCAGAATATCGGTTCACACATTAGCACAGATGCATAAATGTGAGTGAGTGATGCATAAAGAAAACCATTCAACTTAAAAAAAAATATATAAAAATAAAAACATGAAATAAAGACATGTTATACTTCAATGCTTACATTTATAATCTTTCAACAATATTTAGAAACTTGCTCAACCTCTGAAACGCCTTTTGTCACTTTGCATTTGGACTAATGCATTGGAAACAAAATCAAGCCAGCTGGAATACACCATATTACACCAGTTTCACTGTAATAATGCACTATGCACTGTTGCACCATAATGCACTGATGAGATGTTTTTTCCTTCTTATTGGTAAATGAGATGTTTATATTTGCTGATCTTAGCAGTATTTAAATATTCTGGACTGCTGATAAGAAAATGAACGTTTCTTTCTTTGTCAAACGCATTTCTCGAATGGAAAATGGACGTTGAGCTAACCATTTGAAATGGACATTTTGCATTTTGAACACTTGCTGTGACTTCGCAACCCTTTCTGATTGCGTAAAACCGACAGGACAATGGAGAGAGACAAATGCGATGTGAAATATCATTGCAAAAATTAAAACATTACTGTAAATCCAGGGACTGTCATAACAGGCCAGCTCTGAAGAAACAGTTGCATCTAATTTGATAAAAAACAAACCATCCCGATAGTGCAAGAGTGATTTAAACTGAAAATCTGGGGTGAAGAGCTCTTGTACTGAGCCCAATTATGTATACTTTGCCTGAAAATATGAAAGAAAAAAGGAATGTAAAACAATGTTGTTTTAACCTTTGCAGTCATATTTCCAATTCTATTTGTAAAAACAGATGTGCTTGTTCTTAATTAATTTTATGTATCAGATTTTTTTAAATGTTATTAATGCATACTGCACTAAAGATAAAATAAAACACTAAAAATGTCAACATACATCTATACACACACACAAAACCACCTACCACTTTAATGTCAAATCTAACCAATCATGTCACCGCTACCGCTATATGGGGCAAATACCATGCTAGTAGATTTAAACATGCACTCAACAGAATGCTCTGTGTAAGCTAATAGGTCATGTGTTGTTATCCTGACACTGAAGTGCTTTACATTTTGTGCTGGTGGATAAATAGAGACCAAATAAGTGAAATAGTCTCCTTGCAGCAGCTGCTAAATCTCAGCTAACTTCAGCTAAAATTAGCCCTGCAATGGAAAGCACTCTCCACCATCAGTTCAAGAGCAACATGTGCTGGATCATTATTGCACCACAGCAAACATACATTTTAAAAGAACTTGCTAAAAGACACTGAGGTTGGAATAGGACTGGTCCACTTCCAGGAGAATCAAGCCATGGTCAGCCAAGCATGAATTCACCACATAAACAAGTGAACAACTAGCATCAAAGACTGTAAGTGTAAGTGAAATATACATAACTTAAAGTTGCTCATATCTGAAGTGAGATAATACATGCTTGAGATATGCCATTTTTAATGTACTTTGCCTGTACCTGTAATTCTGCCATATGCATAAGCAGGCTATATAGAATCTGTAAACGTAATTTTTTAACATTTTACATTTGTGACCCTGGACCACAAAACCAGAAAAAAAAAAAAAAAATCAAATATTGAGAAAATCGCCTTTAAAGTTGTCCAAATGAAGTTCTTAGCAATGCATATTACTAATCAAAAATTAAGTTAATATATTTACAGTAGGAAATTTACAAAATATCTTCATGGAACATGATCTTTACTTAATATCCTAATGATTTTTGGCACAAAAGAAAAATCTATAATTTTGACCCATACAATGTATTTTTGACTATTGCTACAAATATACCCCAGCGACTTAAGACTGGTTTTGTGCTCCAGGGTCACATTTAATAATATTTTTTTACAAATTTGATTGTGTTATAAATTACCAATAAAAGTGTAGTTCGAAGCTTTTCCATACAAAAAATAAATAAAAATCAGAAATTGCAAAATGGAGATTCTCCATAAATCCAAAGTACTCGCATATTTGTGATTTACCTGATGGTTTTATGCAAAGCAACTTGCAATACAGGTAAAATGCATTGCTCAAAAATGCCCAGGAGTGATCACCTTTCAGAATTTACATAACACTCTAGTACCAAATTATATCTTTAAAAATTTGATACATCACCCCTAAACCGGATTTAATATGTTACACCACCAATTCGATCATATAAATAATAACACTCCAAATAATCATGTCTTCTTGGCTTTGTGCCACTGGTAGCCAAAACATTTTTTAAAAGGAAAACATAACCTGCCACTAGGGGGCAGAGAAAGACCATTAGTAGCCATGAGATACACGCTTTATACCAAACAATATATTTTATTTGTCGTCCAACACCACAGCCCAGCCTAGGAAGTGGTTCAGTACCAAATTCAATGGAGTTACACATGACGAGCATCAACACAGGAGGGGCAGGGACAAGAGGACAACCTATTAGCTTTTTTTCTGTTTTTGTTTTAATAATCATGTTTTCTACAAAAAAAGAAAGAAAAAGCCCACCCTCCAGTAGCTCAGATGTTGTCAGCGCTGCACTGTATAGTTGTACACAGCCAAGTAATTAAAAAAAAAAAAAAAATTATTTTCAATGTATTCTGCAGTGGTGGCAAACAGCGACAGCCTGACAGCAGTCCTTGTCGGACAGACACGGATATGCAGACAGCCTGAGCGTCACTGCAGAACTGAGTGCTGCTGGTTTATGGGGTTCAAAAATGCCCCTCCACAGTCACCCTCACCTGTACCCAGACCAGCTTACAGAGGTTTCTAAAACAGGAACGGGAGACCACACTGCATACATCTGATTACTGCTCCTACTGACTGTCAGTGTTTTTCTCTACAATTAAAAAAAAAGGAGAAAAGAAAACACTTTATTCTTTACAGTTAATTCTTGTTTGTGCTTTTTTAATAATACTATGATCTGTATGAGGTCTTAGTTTGGTTTTTATCATACACTGGAGTAGCAAAGAAAATTAAATTTAAAATATTCTGTACGCCCCACAGTACACAGTATTTTGTGGTGCTGTTGTGTCGCCTACTGTCCACAAACCACCACCTCAATCCCCCCTTTACAAATGAAGATGAAAAAAAAAAACTATAGAAATCACTGGTAGAATCCCTTTAACAACACAAGTACAGTACACACATACAAAGAGCATTTCCTGTTTGGAGGGAAGTGATGCGATAAGATGTAAACATATAGCCAAGACGGTGCACCTTGTGACAAAATGTTCCTTGACTTTTCCATTTTCATGTCTATTCTTTCAGTTCTTGGACTTTTTTTTTTCCCAACAATCTTTCCTGGTTTCCAACTATGTATAAAAGTACAATGAAGCCCCTAAACGTTCATACTTGGTTTGCTGTAGACTTTATATGTGGCATCTTGTCCACAATGTCAAACAAATATCCTCGACATGAGTCGGTCTTGTAAATTCCATATACATTCCCAAGTTATCGAAAAAAAGTCCCTTCCAAACGGTGCCGGACCTGAGCCCAACTTTGAGGAAAGCACAATTAGCTTCTCACACTTCCACCTGCTAAATGACATTACCATTGTAGAAGATTCCCTGTGAACACATTCATGTGTATGTGATGGATACCCATCACTTTGTAAGCTATAAACCTTGTTCTAACCAGGTGTCAGGGTGTGTATGTGCACAGAAAACGTCCCGGTTTCCACACGTATCTGCTTGACAACACAGAGTTTCTTTTTGTCTTTCATTACGAAGGTTTTTATTTCACAGGTTACACAGTTTCCCGACTGTTCATAACTGTAGTGGAGGCTCAAAACATTATATTCCCAGGGTTTCCTGGGCCAGGGTTAAATCCCATGCCAATGTCTGTTGCCATTCCTCGAGGCCTCATCTGAGAGGGCATCATCATAGTCTGTTGAGGACCGCTCATCCCTTGTAGTGACATCATCATGTTAGGAGAGCCCACAGGGCCAGGGTGGTTGTACATCGGCCGTTCCTTTCCTTGCATCATTCCAGGGCCTCCCATCATTCCTGGCTGCTGGCCAGGAGACAACATTCTGTGCTGTGGCCCCATCATACCCTGACCCATGAAACCTGGGGGTCTCATGGGATTATGGCCTGGATTACCCATGGGCATGTCCTGTGGTCCCATATGTCCAGGACCAGGAGGACCACCCATTCCCTGCATGGGGAGGCCCATCCTTGGATTGCCCTCACCCATCATCCCCTGCATTTGGGGAAAGCCAGGTGGGCCAGACAGGTGTGGTGGCTTCCCACCAGGGGCATCTCCACCACGAGGGAAGTAGGACAGAGTCTGGCTAGGCTTCTCAGAGGGCATAATTCGAGAGAGGTCAAACTCGGGGATACCTGACGCACCTGGTCGCATTACCTCATGTAGATCAGAGTCATTGAAGACACCCGGCATGTTATTAAACTCCTGGCCTCCTGGAGTGTTAGGCTTACACATACCTGGCTCACCACCAGGTCCATGAGGCATATTGCCCATCCTGCCCAGCGGGCCCCCTTCTCCCTGAAAACCCATCCCATGAGGGAAGCCACCCTGGTGCCCGGGACCATTGTGAGGAAAGGGGACCTGCTGTGGAGGTGACTGTCCTGGAGGGAAGCCCTGTCCTCGGTGAGGAAGACCCATACGCCCCTGTGGCATCATCTGGTTGTTGCCCATGCCAGGGTCTTGGGAGACTGGGTTCATCATCATACCATGATGAGGCATCATGCCTGGACCCATAGGCCCAGAGTGAGGAGGCATATTGGGGCCCATGGGATTGGGCGAGGGCATCTGGTTTGGCATGCCATGCGAAAGTGGCTGGGAGCCCATAGTGTTCATCCCCATTGGGCTGAGGGAAGGCATGGGGCCAGAAGAGTTGGGTGTCATCATTCGAGGATGACCTGGGTGATGGTTCACACCCATACCTACAAAGAGAACCAAAAGATTTTGATTTAGTGGAAAAGACCTCCAGAAAATGCCACCATAACCAAAACCTACTGCATTTTCGTTAACTCTTACAGACATTACCGGGCATGCTGTTGTTCATAGATAACAGGTTTGGCGATCGAGCAGGCGGCG